TATATATATATATATGTAGTAAAAGGATGGAAATAACTTAGAGTCAAAGGAGGTGAAATAAGACTTACCTCCTTAACTCGCCACATGTCCTAGCCGTAGGTTTGAGATGGCACGCCCTCGGCTTAGTAATCGTCCGAGGTGGCGTACATGCACGGCCTAGTCAACGCTCGTGCGTTTATAAGATGCCATGTGTGCAAGCTACTAGGTGACTCACCATGGCAACTTGCACTCCAAACTTATCCCTTAGAAAATTCTCACGGCAACTTGAAAGCTTAAGGATGGGATTACTTGAACTTGATCATGGTGCTTAAGGGATCATAAGCATGTGCTTAGCGCCTAATAGTGCGCGCTACATATGTTATGCGTGGCAATGCGCGCTGCGCGCGTTCGTGTGTGCGGCTATGCGTACGGCTACGTATATCATGCACGTACGCGTGCATACACAGTTCACTTTGTGTGCATTCGTGACTTGGCTTGGTTTTGACTTCGAAATTAATTCTGAACATTCTTAACTTTTAATAATTAATCCCGATTAATAATGTCTGTTTATAAAATAAACGGTTCGGAAATTAATTATCAAATTTGACTCGGTTAATAATTAACCGAATAGACTTTTCGACTTAAAGTCGAACTTATTTGCTGAAAAATGAACGAGAATAATAAAAGAAAATACATCACTTTTATTAACAAGAACTGGGTTATTACAATCAACTCCCCTTAAAATATTTCCATCCCCGGAAATATACAACTGAACATATATACATGATACAAGAAAAGTATATACATCAAAACTGGAAATTAAGAAAACGAGCGCGGATATTTGCCTCATGCTCCCAAGTAGCTCCGTAGCGATCCCACTGAACGCGAATAAGGGGAACATTACGCTTCCAAAGCCGTCGAACCTGTCGGTCCAACACAGCTACCGGTCGCTCCTCATAAGACAAATCCGGATGGATCTGAATATCGGTATGTGGAATAACATGATCGGGATCGCACACGTACTTATGCAACATGGATACATGAAAGACATTATGAACACTGGATAACTCGGGAGGTAAGGCCAACCGATATGCAACTTCGCCCACTCGCTCGAGAACTTCGAACGGGCCTATGAATCGAGGGTGTAACTTCCTTCTCTTCCCAAATTGAATAACTCCGCGAATTAGGCTAACTCTGAGAAAAGCTCGTTCTCCGACCTCGAACTAAATGTCGCGTCTATACTTGTCGGCCGACGACTTTTGTCAACTCTACGGTGTTCTAAGCCTCTGTCTGATAAGCTCAACTTGCTCAGCTGTCTCCTCGATCATTTTCGGACCGATTTACTCGACGTTCGCCAATATCGTCCCAATAAAGGGTCGAGTGGCATTTACGCCCATATAGTGCCTCGAAAGGAGCCATCTGGATCGATTCCTGATAACTGTTGTTATAGGCGAACTCAACTAATGGTAAAATCGACTCCCACTTAGCACCTCTATCTAACATCAACAGTCTGAGCATATCCTCGAGCATCTGAATAATTCTTTCTGTCAGACCATCTGTCTCTGGATGGTAAGTCGAACTGAACTGTAACTGTGTGCCCATTGCCTCATGTAAACTCTTCCAGAATCTGCTGGTGAATCTGACATCTTGACCTGACACAATGTGAACGGGCACTCCGTGGAGTCGAACGATCCCACGGGTATAAATCTCGGCTAACTTTTCCATCGACATGGTCATCGCTACAGGTAGGAAATGTGCGACTTTCGTCAATCTGTCCACTACTACCCAAATCGCATCATGGCGCTCGAACGACTTGGGAAGCCCTGTAACGAAATCCATCGAAATCTCCTCCCACTTCCACTTTGGAATCTCAAGTGGTCGTAGAAGGCCTAAGGGACTCTTATGTTCGGCCTTGACTTGCTGACAGACCAAACACTTTCTTATGATACTGGCAACATCCTTCTTCATTCTCCTCCACCAGAAAGACCCTTTCAGGTCATGATACATCTTAGTGCTGCCAGGATGAGCTAGATAAGGCGCGGTGTGTGCCTCTGTCCAGATCTCCTTCTGTAAGGCCTCGACCTTCGGCACTACTATCCTGCCTCAGAACTCTAAGGCGCCATCTGCGTCTCGAGAAAAACCTTCGACTCCTCCGGCGTGAACCTTGGCCTCAATAGCGCGAACAAACTGATCATGAGCCTGTTCCCGCCGGATTCTATCTCTCAATGTGGGCTGAATTTGCATCGAGCTAACACTCCCTGTAATCACTGCAGGAAGCGACTCGACGACTTGAATTTGCATCTTGGCAAAGTCTTGAACAAGAGAACGCTGCTGGGTAATACAACAAGGTAACTCGCCGTTTACCTTTCGGCTCAAGGCATCAGCTACAACCTTTGCTTTCCTCGGATGATATTGAATCGTGCAGTCATAATCTTTAACAAGCTCTAACCAACGTCTCTGACGCATGTTGATCTCCTTTTGCGTAAAAATTTGCTGCAGACTCTTGTGATCGGTGTAAATCTTGCATCGACCACCATAAAGATAATGCCGCCATATCTTAAGTGCATGTACCACTGCAGTTAATTCCAGGTCGTGGGTAGGATAATTCTGCTCATGGGGCTTCAACTGGCGTGAAGCATATGCTACAACCTGGCCGTCCTGCATAAGTACACACCCCAAACCCCGCTTCGAAGCATCACTATAAATGGTGAAACTCCGAGAAGGATCGTGTATAGTCAACACCAGTGTTGTCGTAAGTCTCCTTTTCAGCTCTTGGAAACTCGACTCAAAATGGTCTGTCCATTCGACATCACAGACTTCCTCGTCAATTGAGACAAAGGGAGGGCAATCTTCGAGAACCCCTCAATAAATCTGCGATAATAACCTGCAAGGCCGAGGAAACTACGAACCTCGGACGGATTCTTTGGTGCTGACCAGTTATGAACTGCGGCAATTTTGGATGGATCTACTTCAATACCTGCTTGTGTGATAATGTAGCCAAAAAAAGCCACTCGCTGAAGCCAAAATTCGCACTTGGAGAACTTTGCGTACAACTTTTCTCGTCTAAGGGTCGCAAGAATGGCCCTTAGATGCTCCTCATGCTCCTTCTGGCTTTTAGAATAGATAAGGATATCATCAATGAAGACAATAACGAACTGATTGAGAAAAGGATGAAATACACGGTTCATCAAGTCCATGAATACTGCCGGGGCATTACTGAGGCCATACGGCATAACCACAAACTCGAAGTGACCGTATCTCGTACGAAACGCTGTCATAGGTATGTCGGACTCCTTGATTTTCAGCTGATGGTAGCCTGAACGCAAATCAATCTTGGAAAACACGCAGGCACCCCTCAACTGATCAAACAAATCATCAATCCTGGGAAGCAGATATTTATTCTTGATCTTCAACCGGTTAAGATCCCGGTAGTCGATACACATACGCATAGATTCGTCCTTCTTCTTGACAAAGAGAACGGGTGCTCCCCAAGGTGAGACGCTCGGTCGTATGAAACCGAGATTCAGCAACTCTTGAATTTGGGTCTTTAACTCATGTAATTCTTTAGGTGCCATTCTATATGGCGCCTTGGAAATGGGTCCGGCTCCAGGGATAATATCAATAGAAAATTCCACCTGTCGGCTAGGTGGACCACCCGGAAGCTGATCTGGGAACACGTCCACAAACTCACGAACAATGGGAATGTCATGAGGTGACCGTGCTTTTGGCTCATCTCCAACGAGGCTCACGAGGTAACCCTGGCAATCACCCCGTCGAAGAATCTTCCTGGATTTCACCATAGAAATAATATGGGGCAGAGTACGAGTCCTGGAGCCGAAATAAGTGATCTGATCATCTCCCAGAAGATAAAGAGTAATATCCCAGTCGTGACATCGGATATCTGCGTGAAAACGTGTTAGTCAATCCATACCGAGTATGAGGTCAAAGTCCCTCATCCCGATGACATAAGCATCAGAAGTCAAAATACGGCCGCTGATGAAAAGGCTGAGATCGGTGGCTCTGGCATCAGTCACTATCTTTCGTCTCGAGGCTAAACTCACCTCGAGAGGATCGACAGTGGTAAGAGAATGAACTCCTATAGCATCGAGACATCGGCGTGATATAAAAGAGTGGGTTGCTCCGGTGTCAAATAAGGCATAAACAGGCACATCATTAAGAACAATCATCCCAGACATGGTACCTAGGCGCTGGTCGTCCTCTCTCTGGTCTACTGCAAAGACGCGGGCCTGCTGTTTGCCGCGTTGCTGTTGCTGGGGTCGTGGTGGCTGTTGTCGAGGTTGCTGTTGTTGTTGAGGTTGCTGAGGTGGTTGTCGTTGTTGGTGTAATCATTCGGGGCAGTTAGGGCTGATATGGCCTATCTGGCGACAAAAGAAACAGAAGTTCTTGCCTACAAGGCATTCTCCACGATGGCGCTTTCCACATGTTGGGCAATTTGGTGTTTGTTTGGGGCGATTTCTCCAATCATCTGGGCCTCCTCTGAACTTCCTCTTCTTCTGGTTCTTTGATGATTGGGCAATGTTGGGTTGAACTGATGGCTGGGCAACTGGTTGGGCTAAGGTCGAATTAGCTTCTCGTCGGATGCTGGCATCAATCTCCTGAGCAATGGCGACTGTGCGGGCGTAGGTCTGGATGCCGGGACCTACGATGTTATGGCGGACTGCGGGGAGAAGTCCGTCGATAAAACGAATAGCTCTCTTCTCCTCTGTACTCACAAGATCGGGTATAAAGGATCCGAGTCGGGTAAACTCTCTCTCGTACTCGTCGACAGAACGAGTACCCTATCTGAGTGCCAGGAACTGGCGTTCCATATATGCTTGGTAGTACGAGGGATAGTACTTTCCGCGGATCAACTCCTTGAATTGGTTCCATGTAAAACCTTCTTTCTCGTCGGGACGCATGCTCCAATGGGCATTCCACCAGAGTCAGGAATCACCGGTCAGCTGGATTTGTGCGCATACCACGCGATAACGTTCAGGACAGTCCATGACCTCGAAAATCATTTCAAGGCCCTGAACCCATTCGTCTACTACACGAGGATCTCCTTGGCCGGAAAACTTTTCTGGATGGTAATCGCAAAAAAGTGCGACTACTGTGGCCTGAGGGAGCTCCTGGTGAACTGGTTCTCTACGAGGCGGCATTTGAATATTGAAAATATCAACGTGATCAGACGCAATCATGATAACATACTTTATCTTCTTATTAATGCGCACAAATCTCTTGACGATTTGCAAACATTTACCCGAGAAAACTAAAGTCGAAATATTGAATAACTGAGACAATCGACAATGTTTGATCACTAACTCGAGCATCTTACTGGTTTCTAGGGTCACATATCTGATACCCGCTACTGAGCATAGACTTAAGCATTTATTTAAATATATATAAACTGTAACTCAGCACTTATCTGTAGTCGGCGAGGTGTAAGCGTAGCGTGGTCGGGTCTTTCTGAAAATTTCTGACTTAATAAAGTATTCAGATACACAAAAACGTGCTCTGATACCATTTGTAACACCCCACTAGCTTATTAAAATCAGAGTGTGATTTTTGCAAATTTTCTTTTTATATAATACCTTTTAGTTTGCGAAAAACCTAACTTGGGATGCTACGGAAATACATTCCTTCTGAAAAATCCGTTCAATGTGGCTAACTTGACTCAATTTAGAAAAACAGATTATCTTTTAAAAGCACATTATACTGTATAATCCGACCAGGAGCTTCGTATCAAAATTCAAAACTTGGCATGCCAGATTAAAAGTCTAAAAGCATCAGCGGAAGTCAAAACGGTAAATAATTTACATATCATAAGTTTGCAAAAATCATATACACTGGACCGACAACCACTTGCTCCGCTCACTCCTCTGGACCGACCCTGTCACCTGAAAAACATCATAAAGTGGGAGCGTGAGCACTAAAGCCACTGTGCTCCGCAGAAACTCATACTAAAGTAAACATTAATAATAATATCATGGATGCAGGTATGTATAAGTAAACTGTAATCTCTAGACACAAGGTCTGTAACTGAGCTGAGCTGTCTCGGACACTATGTCTCGAACACTATGTCCGCCATTTCTGAACCTTTCAATTGGTATTATGCATGATTTATCTCGAAATTTCAGTTCTGTCGTGCTGCTATATTGACCCTATGAAACCAATAATTTGTTGTTATGCCTTTTGATGAAATATATTCTTTTCTGTTGGCTTTCACGGGGCTTTGGAATTTTGTAATTCCGAGCTATATGGAATAAGTTATGATTTTTACGAGAATATTGCGCGTCCAGTTTTTCCTGTTACCTGGCAGCTTGTGTGTAATTAATGTGTAACCTGTTAATCGTGTCGTAATGTGCTCGTATGAACTTATGCTCTTCATAAAAGTTATAGGTATGTTTCTTATTTTTCAAATGAGATAAATTTCATGCTGATATGTGCTCTGTAGTTTGAGTAGCGTCCAAATGAACGTAGACATGCACGAGTTAGTATTTTATACTTTGCCAGAATCTGATGCTTAAATGTTAACTGTTTTTACACTACTTTAATAACTTTATCTCCTTTTATGTTCTAAATGAAAGTTGTAGGTGCATGCCTTAGGTTTAATTTGAGATTTGAATCAAGTCATTTGATGGTCTGTAGCTCCGATTATTTAGTAAATAGTGAAGTCTGATCAGTTGTATTACCAGTTGTATTTTCTCAATTTTTGACGCCTACTCTATTTTGGATGTTTGCTGAATTATCACCTGCTAAATGGTCTTATTTGTTTTCGGTGTCATCATATGTTTTGTAGATGCATGTCTTAGGGTTCTAATTCAGCTTGAATCATGTTCATATGAATTATGTATTGTTAGTAAGGTCGATTTCAAAAACGCTGCCCGGGTTAAGTTTTCTTATGTGGCATTTTCGGAAATTTGATTTACTTGTTAAATGTATGCCTATATGACTTAAATGTGATGAGTGGAATCCATGTATGTTGCTATAAGTTGTTCGTGTGTTGGATAGTCATCTATAAGACTATTTTAATATATGTAGGTGTTTGACGAGCCGAGCTCGTTGCCTACACGTGTTTTGTGTATCTCTTGTTTTCTGACCAGGTGGGTACAGTTTGTGTATCTATATCGCATTTCGTTATTTCGTACAAATGTTTGTTTCGATAACTTCAGTATGCCTGAGAACCCTAGTCTAGTGTGTTACACCGCCAGGGATGTCTCGTCTTTAGTGCCTTTGATGAATGCATAAGCAGTGCGAGGTCACTTGCCCGTCGTATCCGAGAGGAGGACGCCCTAGCCCGTGTGTTGGGGAAAAACATATCGACTATCTCCTGGAAAGGATCCTTTAGCCCGTGTCGAGCCGGGGTGGGAAGGTTTCCGATTACTCCCTTGTCGATGTTTGAACGGAAGGTTGTTGTATGTACATAGGAGGTTTGCGATAGGGCCATATAGAGAGTTAGATCTAGATTCTATGCATACTCTATTTATTGTTTTGGATCTTTATGCGAGATATACTTATGCGATATTGGTGACCATAGTGATTTTGCTCACCCCCATTGTTTCTTTTGTCCTCTTGTTTCCTCTTCCTATCTTTAGGTTGAGCAATGTTGGTGGAGGCAGCGAGAGATGAGCAAGTAGTGGTCATTCGATTTTCAAGTTCTTTTTGCTTCCGCTTTATCTATGTTGGATATTTTATTTTGGTGCTTTAGCTTTGTTTATATTGAATCATGTTGAACCTTTGACTTGAATCTGGAAATTATGATTTATGGAATATTATTTTAATTGTTAATCTGCATGTGTAGGTCCTTTTGTAACACCCCGACTTTCTACTATATCAGAGTACACCATTTTCGCAAATTTTCTGAATAAATAACTAAAACACTTATTTTGCGAGAGCTGATTCGGGGGCTACCGTGAAAAACTTAATTTCTAAAAACCGTTAAAGTTTAAATTGATACAAAAACAAACGGTCATAATGTCTTATCCGACTAACGTCGGAGTAAAGTCTGATAAAAGTACTTGAAAGTTTTAGCGGAAGTCTAGCGTGGTAAAAACATAAAGGTCTGATAATAAGTACTGAAAAGTTTTAGCGTGGTTCAACATAAAATACAGAAATCATAAATGTCCTGAACAGCTCGCCCGCTCACTCCTCATCTCCGACCCTGCGACCTGAAAAACATGAAAGGTGTGGGGCGTGAGCACTAAAACACTTGTGCTCCGCAGAAACTCATGCTAATGTAAAACATCGTAAATAATAACAATAACATGAACTAAGCATATACAACTGAACTGAATCTGAATCTGATATCTGATAACTGATAACCGGTCTGATCTCGCGACATAAGTCACGTAACTGATAACTGAATCTCGCAACATAAGTCGCGTAACTGATAACTGAAATCTCCCGGCAAAAACTAATACCGGACCATGTGCACACTCTAGTGGTTAGATTAGGCCACTAGAACTCAGAATGGACCGGCGACCATTCCAAGCGGATACTGATTATACATACCTCGACCATGGTAACGTAATTATAAACCATGTAGTACTTAGTCTGAGTCCCCACCTGAATTTGCTGAAACTTAAACTGAATGGCAGTGCTGATATCTGATCAAACTGAAAATAATAATATAAACAATTACTATTGACTATGCTCAGACTGATAAATTAACTTTTTAATTATGTTAAGATGCTCTTTCGGATCTGACATGATATTCGGACTTATTCGGTATAACTGAAACCGACTAAGTATGAAACTGAGTTGACAATAACTAACTGAACTGAACTTGACCTGGAATTTAACTGAAAATAACACTGAAACTGAAAAC